ATAATCGTTCATATTTGGAATTAGCATCTTCAAATAAGTTTCCATGTAATACCACAAAATTACAGCAAGCTGTAACTTATAGAGGTACAGTGACAGATAAATAATAAAAAAAAAATTATATTTTTCAATTATGCATTTTAATTAGGTGGCAGAGGTATGATTAAGACAAGAAAGAAGACCGGCCCACAGAAGGTTACTATAGCGAGAATGCAAAGAAATAAAAGAAAATATGTCACAGTCGTTAGAGGTTTGAGTACATTTGGTGAGTTTTTTTTCATGACAAATTCACATGATACTTGATTCACATGTGCAGTACATGAACATATACTTTGGTCGGCTGTCCCTGTGTTTTTTATTGTTTACTCTAAGTATGTCTATGTATGGTATTTTACAGTCTGAGTTTATCACTTTGAACAACACAGTAAACTTTTGTCATCTTCTTCAGAATAAACCCTGTCAGAATGATTTGTATGAATGTGAACGACATTCAAACAATTCAGACAATTACGGTAATGGATACAAACGTGAATTAATAAAAACTGACATATTGAGACAAAAATATCATGTAACATTGAAACCCCAAAATATTTATATATAGAGATTGATGCCTTACTGAAACATGACATGTTTATACTTTTTTTTTTCACCAGATATTGATTTAAAAGTGGCATCCAAACATTTTGCCAATCGTTTCGCAACTGGTTCATCAGTTACCGGGGACGATGAGATTGTTATTCAAGGTGATGTCACCTATGACATCATTGATGTGGTACAAGATAAATGGGCTGAGGTAGGAATTGTATCAATATTACTATCATATTTGTTCTAATAGAAGCATATCTCCAATAGAAGTTCAGATCAACTATCAAATGTTATACTGAATCATTCAAATATTAATTATTTTGGCAACAGGAATGACATACCATGACGTAATATGTATGGGTTTGTAAACAGAAACTGTGATATCAAACCCATCAAATTGCAACTGCCTATGTAGAGGGCGCTGTGACTAATGATGGTGCAGAATATACTATAAAGAATAAGTTTTTCATGAAAAGTCATAGATAGCTTTATGTTAGGACTGTATAGTAATAGTAGTTTTCAGGCATGAACCTCTTCTCAAGCCAGTAAACTTTTTAGCCCCATGAATACTAGTATACAAACAAATTATCCACCAAGTTTTCAGACACAGTACTATTGCAGCTATTTTGAAAATAAGGTTGTTTTGCAATTTCCATAATAGTGATAGTTGATTTTGATTTCTTGACAGATTGAAGATGAAATGATCGAAGACCTTGGTGACCAGAAGAGATAGAAAACATCTTATTGTGGGATAATTTATCTTCGAAATGCATTTTTTTTTATTTCTTACATTACTACATTCACAGTAGTACGTTAATTTGTATGTTACTGTAGACATTGTTGGCATTATGAAACATGCCATGAATCCATAGTACACATACTATACATGTAATGCATATGATTGTATAAGTACAGTGCAAATAACCCCCCCCCCCCCAATGTTAACAGATGTTCCTATAATCAGAGATAATTGCATGAATATTGCATACATGTACATACTGTAAAATACTTTATTTTAGCTGGAATTAATTTTCGCTGAAAAGACTTTTTGGGTGTTTTGTGTGGAATTTATTTTCACTGATCTTTGACAAGTTGAATGTAAAATATAGGAAAAAAGGTATATCTGCTGGATTCCTTCTGCGAAAATTAGTTCCAAGCGAAAATAAAAATATTTTACAGTAGTAACAGTACAGTAATTTACTGACACTGTATTTGCTCTATTGGAAGCGCATGTAGTTTATTTTATACTAGATCATTCTATCTGACTTATTATAGTAACAACTCTGTCATTGTATGGCAAGTGTGTGCTACTAATTGAGCAAATATAATATTTGCATTTAATAATTTCAACGTTTTATATGGTATTCCTGCATTATTGTGATTATTGAGGCATTTTGTCATTCAATGGAATCAAATTTTATGAGGTGAACATGAAATATTCCAACAAGGCCACATTTAGTGGAATTCCTTGCTTAAATTCCACAAGGAAACTCCACTGTTAACCCATTTCTACAGTACGCAGCATTTTGTAAAATTCAATTCTGTGGGCATTCCTCAGGCTTATTTTTGAAGTACTCATTGTTATGAAAAGAGAACAGGTATGCCATTATGAGTGCAATATAATAAAATTACTGCACAGAAAACCTTGTTTGTGTGTCATTGTATTCATATCATGAGATTATTACAATAACACCATGTAGTAAACCCAAAGGCAAATATGTTATTTGTACACATGTGGTGGCATTAAATTTTGTATTGGGGGGGGGGGGTGTCTGCTTGATTTTGAAATCTACCCTCTTAAACACTATTTCCCTGCATTTTGATGCAAATTTTGATTTGATACATCCCCCCCCCCCATGTTTTCCCCATGAACTGTGTCAACGATTTTCATTTAACATTCCAAAATAAACATGAAATAAGTAAAACATTTAAAATAATTGTTTTATATTAAAAATTTATCTGTATTTGACAAAGTACTGGCTTAAAAGTACAGTAAACAACTCTTTAGAAAAAAAAATGTCAACTTTTTCAAAATAAGAAAATGAATATCAATAAAAATATTTGATAACACCCATTTTAGATTACCCAGGGTTGTGGTTTACAGTTTAGGATGGTACAAAAAAAAATTTCTCTACATGAATCTACATTTATAATAATTCACAAAATCGATGGGTAATCCAAAATTAGAGTACACAGTATCATGCTGAAACTATAAATAACAGTATTTCTTTATGCAACACTGGATTTGATAAATGTTGAGCCCTTTTTTCTTTGTACTTGATAGCGCCCTCAATGTTATTCTTTCGTATCAGAGGTCAACATTGCTGATACCAAATATTCAGTAACCTAAGGAGTTGTGGTACCTCAGGTGATCCAAGATGGCGCGTTTCTTGAATGGAGTTTTTCTGGCGTATTTTGCATCCTCATATCCCTATCACTATATTAATTGATTCTCAGTCTGTGCTACCAAAAGAATGGTATCCTAACGTGGTAAGTATGAATCTTTACTCGCAGTGGTGCAACTGACGCTATCAAGCTATGCTCTGATCTGTATCCATGCACCCAGGTTTGCACCTTTGAATGACATTTAACTGGGATCTGGATGTTTAATAAAGTTAGGGGATTATTCCTATCCAGCAACTGAAATTGTTTTACTGCAGGTGGATTTATAATTAAATATAATATTACGGTAAATTTGTTTTTATTTTGATTTCATTTTTTGGATGCAGTTCTTGTATATGCTTTCTTCTCTACATGGGATATTTTTCTCAAATATTGATTTTACGTTTCTTTAGCAGAAGATATATGTTTCCGGTAGCCCACATTTACAGCTTATGGGGAAAATATACAAACTGAAAAAATATAAAAAAAAATTATAATTGGCTTTAGTTTAATGGTAGACCCAACCCATCCCAAAAGTTCATAATGATTGAATCCTTATTTTACTTTGCAAACATTTGTTTATTATTTCCATTATATGGCTAAATAATAAAATATCTGCATTACTTTCAAAGAATTTTCAAAAGTTATGAGATACATACAGTATACAGTTGTATCATGTTGTCGAATTGCCATTTATAACAACTGTTGCCCTGGATGTATTGCATAAAATTTATCATTATTAAATTACTTACTTTATTAACTATTCAAGTCTTATAGGTCCTAAGGTCTGTGACACGTATCACATTTTGTTACCAGTCAGCATAATATTTTCTTTATATGCTTTCAAGACAAGAACACATTTTTAATTGTTCATAGCATTTAGAATAAAAATGGTGATACTGCAATGGTGTGATTATTTTTTTTGAAAATTACAATATTTATGAAAAAAAGCAATGAGGTAATACTTTCAGTCACCCAAACCTGAACAAGAATATTAAATACAAATTAAAATCTAAATCCAGGGCCAGCTTCAGCATCATTAGTGTTGTCCACTAAACTGTTGGTGAGACATTGTACAAACTTTTCTGTAATTTACTTTTGTCATTTGCAGAGAGGTCAACATCAAATTTATTAGAACCAATATAAACATTTTTTGCGAATGACAACAAAAGTCCACTTTGGTGTTGAATAAGTTAACACAAATTTTTTTTATACTTTTG